CTCTGGATTAACAATCCAGCAGTAATACCACTAGACCATCACCTCCCCCCTCTCTGTGTGCATGCACACACCTCCACGTGCGTGGGGGGTGGTTTGGTTAGACAAGGGGAAATGTTAGCTTACAAAGCAAAAAGGATATGGCAGTATTGGAGGGCAGCTACAGTAACCTCCCTGGTGTCCAGCACATATGGGGAAGGGAGGATGCCAGTTACATGAGAAATACCGATGATAGCTGGGAGAACTTGACTCATCATTGCCACAAGATGAATGTGCATTTTAGAAAGAAGCAGTCAGGACCACTCACAAATACCATCAGCGAGATTTCAGTTTGCATGAGAATTCCAAATGCTCGGGGACTGGATAACAGGGTCCTTATTGTATTTAGGTAATGATAGCCAGAGAGAGACAAGAAGAGGCAGAGTGTACAAACAGAAATTAGGGTTGAAGGAGGAAAAGAAATGGTAAAAGGCAAAATTAGTTTTTAACTTTTAACTTTTTAAACTTAAACGCACATAGTAATCAAAATAAAATTAAACTAATGGCCAAAAAGAGGCTAATTGGGTCTAATCGTACAGCCATTATAGAGATAGAGATACAATTACAAGCTGTAGACTTGCTCGCCATGCCAGTGTTTGATTGCAGACATTTTGTCACCCTGCTAGGTAACATTGTCACTGCACCTGAAGTGTTAGTGTTCTGTCCCGCTTGTTATTTATATGCCTCAGTTCACAGAGGTAGTTGGCAGCACTTCCAACAAACATATTGAACTGGACCCGATATACAAACCACTGAAAAACAAAACTGGAAGAGGGCAGCAGAGTGGAGACGCCGATTAGCTGACATAGGGAAGATCTGCATCAGTGCAGTCACTGCTTCCAGAAGGTGGACTTCATCAAGACACCCTCTGTGTTCAAGTGAAAGTAAGTGCCCTGAAGAGGGCAGCAGAGTGGTGATGCTGATGTTGGCAGATGTTTGAGGGCAAATCAACATCTGGTATGTGGCAGGCTTTCAAGTGTAAGTTGCTGGGAACTCAGGACCGGCACATTCCTGTGAGGATGAAGGATAAGTATGGCAAATTTAGGGAACCGTGGATAATGAGAGATATTATGAGCCCAATCAAAAAGAGAAAGGAAGCATTTATCAAGGCTAGGAAGTTGGGAACATATGAAGCAAGGGTGGAATACAAGGAAAGTCGAAAGAAACTTAAGCAAGGAGTCAAGAGGGCTAAAAGTGGTCATGAAAAGTCGCCAGCAAGCAGGATTAATGAAAATCCCAAGCATTTTTATACATATATAAAAACCAAGAGGGTAGCCAGGCACAGGGTTGGCCCACTCAAGGACAGGGAAGGGCATTTATGTGTGGAGCCAGAGGAAATGGGCAAGTATTAAATGAGAACTTTGCATCAGTATTCACTATAAAGAAGGACTTGATGGATGAGGAGTCTGGGGAAGGGTGTGTAGATAGTTTGGGTCATGTTGAGATCAAAATGGAGGAGGTATTGGGGGTCTTGAAAACCATTAGCATAGACAGGTCCCCAGGGCCTGATAGGATATACCCCAGAATACAGAGAGGCGAGGGAGGAAATTGCTGGGGCCTTGAGGGAAATCTTTGTATAATCCAGCTAATTACAGGCCAGTGAGCCTTATGTCAGTGGTAGGGAAATTATTGGAGAGGATTCTGCGAGACAGGATTTACTCCCACTTGAAAATCCGTGGGCATATTAGTGAGTGGCAACATGGTTTTGGGAAGGGGTGGTCGTGTCTCACTAACTTGGTTGAGTTTTTTGAGGAAGTGACGAAGTTGATCGATGAGGGTAGGGCAGTGGATGTTGTCGACATGGATTTCAGTAAGGCCTTTGACAAGATCCCTCATGGCAGGCTGATACAGAAGGTAAAGTCACACGGGTTAGAGGTGAGCTTGCAAGATGGGTAAAAAACTGGTTCGGTCATAGAAGACAGAGGGTAGCAGTGGAAGGGTGCGTTTCTGAATGGAGGGCTGCGACTAGTGGTGTTCCTCAAAGATCAGTGTTGGGACCTTTGCTATTTGTAATATTTGGAAGAAAACGTAATGGTCTGATTAGCAAGTTTGCCGATGACACAAAGGTTGATGGAATTGCAGATTGCAATGAGGATTGTCAAAGGATACAGCTGAATATAGGTCAGTTGGTGACTTGGGCAGAGATGGCAGATGGAGTTTAATCTGGAAAAATGTGAGGTTATGCACTTTGGAAGGTCTAATCCAGATAGAAAATATACAGTAAATGGCAGAACCCTTAAGAGTACTGATAGGCAGAGGGATCTGGGTGTACAGGTACACAGGTCACGGAAAGTGGCAACGCAGGTGGAGAAGGTAGTCAACAAGGCATACGGCATGCTTGCCTTAAATCGGCCGAGGCATTGACTTTAAAAACTGGCAGGTAATGTTGTAGCTTTACAGAACATTAGTTAGGCCGCATTCGGGATACTGTATTCAATTCTGGTCGCCACACTACCAGAAGGATGTGGTGGCTTTGGAGAGGGTACAGAAAAGATTTACCAGGATGTTGCCTAGTATGGAGGGCATTAGCTACGAGGAGAGGTTGGAGAAACTTGGGTTGTTCTCACTTAGAACAACGGAGGTTGAGGGGCAACCTGATAGAGGTCGACAAAGATTATGAAAGGCATGGACAAAGTGGATGGTCAGAAGCTTTTTCCCAGGTGGAAGAGTCAGTTACTAGGGGGCATAGGTTTAAGGTACGAGGGGCAAGGTTTAAAAGGTGACGTACAAGGCAAGTTATTTTTTTTTTTATATACACAGGAGGTTGGTGGGTGCCTGGAACTTGCTGCCCGGGGTGGGGGGTGGTGGAAGCAGATACGATGGTGACTTTTAAAGGGCATCTTGACAAATACATGAATAAGATGGGAATAGAGGGATATGATCCCCAGAACGGTAGGGGGTTTTAGTTGTGATGAGCAGCATGTCGGTGCAGGGTTTGAGGGCCAAAGGGCCTGTTCCTGTGCTGTAATTTTCTTTCTTCTTTGATGGAGTTCTGGTTGGAGTGCCAGGTCTCCAGGAACTCCCTGGTATGTCTGTCTGGCTTGTATTGGCCCAGTCGAATTCGAGTCCTTTGTCCGTGTATTGAGGCCAGTGAGAACTGGTCATGTCTCTTGGCGGCTAGTTGGTGTTCGTGTACCCTTATTGTCAATTTTCTTCCAGTTTGGCCTATGCAATGCTTCTCGCAGTCCTTGCATGGTATTTTGTATATTACGTTGGTTTTATTGGTTATGGGTACGGGATCCTTTATGTTCGTCAGTAGCTGTCATAGGGTGGTTGTTGGTTTGTGATAATTCCACTAGGCCATTGCCTCCCCGCACCAGAGTACCCACACCAGAGAGGCTACATCAGTTCAAAGCAGTAGCTCACATTCAAAAGCATTTAGGGATGGGCAACAAATGCTGGCCCAGCCACCAACATCCACATCCCAGGAATGAATAAAACTAATAAACCTCGAACAAGTCTTCTTTCAATCTTCTTTGCTTCAGGGAGAACAAACCCAACTTTCCCACCTAACCTTGTAGCTAAGTCCCTCATTCATAGAAACATACTGGTAAGTCCCCTCCTGGACCCTCTCATCCTTCCTAAAAAAGTGTGATGATCAAATCTGTACATAACACTCTAGTTGTGGCAGCGGTTCAACACAACTTCCTTACTTTTGCATTGAATACTGGTTATAAAGCCCAAGATTCTATTTCCTTTTGCTAACTAATCCCTCAACATGTCTGCGACTTTCAAAGTCAATACAGGTCAACCCCCAAGTCCCCTACGCCATTAAGTCCTCATTGCTTTGCTATCCCTTCTGCTGAAACGTATACATAAAGCAACTGTCTTCTGACGGACAAACAGATCTCCAGTTTGTAAAGTAACCATTCCCACAACTCATTTTCCGCCTCAAGCCAGATATTTTAAAATCTACTTGAACGCTGACCTACCTGTTCCATAAGCCTCAATTTTAAGCTATTTTATGTCCGAGTTAATTATCCAAAAGCCATTTGAACTTCATATAACCAGTACATTCCCTTCATCTCTCCACTTACCAATCACCGTCATAGACAGGAAGAGACTGAGACACTTGAAGTCCATGGACACACAATGGTTGAACTTGGAGAGAGCATTCAACACCACCAGAATTAACAACACTGCTCGAGAGAAACTTGGCGTTTGCAAGAATGTCATGATGAGAGCGGCGACCAGAAAATAACTGACATGTACGGTGCAGGTGTAGATCACATGGAGGTTGTTTCCTGTAAATATAAATTCAGTATAGAAAAGTAAGTTATATAACCAGGTTACTTACTAATCTGTAATAACAAATCACTGCAATCCAAGTCTGTGAAGACGACTTCAGCAGCATATATGGAAAAAAGTTTGTGCTAAAAAAAATACTAAGAAAAGCAGAGTCATGAATCACAATAGTTCGCACACTCAGCATTTCTAAAGACTGACAGCCAATCATTTGGAGCATCTCTCATGGTGCACAAGAGAATGTAAAAGAAAACAGCCATACAAAACAGGAAAGCAGTTCAAACCCGGTCTTTGGTGAATTTTACAACTGACTGGTTAGAAGCTGACAGACTAAATGCCAGTGAAGAGACCAGATTTTTCGGGTGCTATACGATGCTCCAAAATGCATTTCAGTAGCTATAGGACATCTTGCTCATTTCACTGGGTGTCAGTTTTGCAGCATCTTATACCTCACCCGGTACAAGCTGACTCAGAGAGCCTGACAGAGAAATTGCATCAGCAGGTGACTGACCAGAAATGTGGACCAGCAATATTCATTGCATTTTTTTTTTCATTTTATAACAGCTTTAAAAAATTGTATCAACAAAATTTATAACTGAATGTTCATGCTGAAATTTCCCACAAAGAATCAAATTCACATTTAATAAATAGAAGCTTCCAAAAAAAAGTTAAAAGCTTCCCATGTAAGTTTATCTCACTAGAACAGCACTCAATATGGAGGTATTTATCATTACATTTAAAAAAAATTACATTTAGACTTCATTGTCACATGTACTCAAGTACAGAATTATTTGAGTACTGCAAAAAAAAAAGTGTATTATGTTGCCATTCCCAGTGCCATCTTAGGTACAAAGGTATCTATGCACAAAATCTTCAGTACAAAGTAGAAAAGTAAAGAAATGAAGTTAAAAGTTAATACTAAGAAGGACTGTAATGTTTAAGGAGAAAAAGAAATTGTTGAAATTTCAATAGTCTCCAAGTGGTTAGACATGCTTGGATCGCACTCCCTCCAAGGGGTCAATCTCTTCTGCTTTGGGCCATTCTCTGAGAGACCTCGGGTTGCCTGCTCTAGCCACCGCCACAGATGCTGGGGGATCTCCTTCACTGCCACATTGGGTTCACTCTTCAACTGTCAAAGTCCCGTTCCAGGCCCCCAACCACTGCCATACATCAGACCCTTAGCCGACCACCAAAGTCCTAGCTCCGGGACCCCAGCTGCTGTCAAGCTCCGGACCCAACTAAGCCACAATGCCATTGCTGCTGCTGCCTCCACGACTAAGCTCTCTCCGGAAGGTAAGGAAGTAGTGAACAAAAAAACAAAAAGAAAAACATGGAAAGAAGAAAAGCAAAAGAGAAAGAAAAGCAGGCAGAGTGGATTAGCCTATTTCTCCACCATCAAAATGCAAGTACTCAAATATGCACAAGGGAATTTATATAAATTGTCCCTAACTCAACTTTACTATAAAACATAGGGTCTTAATACCCAAATACCACTACTCTAGTAGAAACCATCTTTTTTGAATAATACTATCACATCTTAGACAATTTATGAGGTGACTGGGGCAACCATTGCTTTGGAACAAATCCATCCCACAAACAGATTTTCTGAGCATTCATTTATACAAATAAGATCAGAAACTTTCATGTGAATAGTTGCACCCATTGGAAAGTCATCGTTATTGCCAAAGTGAAGTTGGGACCCCAAGCATAGCCCTGAGCTCAAATCCTTGGGTCCTGATCTCTGGAATAGCAATGGGTGCTATGGCCAAGTTAATACAACTTAACACCAACTCAGTCCCCTGCTCACAGACCCTTACTCTGCTCTCAGTTCTCACTGGAGGAGTACCAATAATTTTCAAGCTTTGACATGGGACCACAGTGGGAAAAGTCTGGGAAGCACTCCAGTGCGGGACATTGAAGTCTACTTCTACTCAGCTCCTTACCTGTCCAGCTCAGGAAGTGCTGGATGCTGTTTAACCTTTGGCTTACTCCTAGCTCAAGGTGGTCAATCATGTACATCACCATGCCCACAGTCTGGTTCATCTTCTGTAGCTTCTCCATTAACTGATCATAATAAATGGCAGTTTGGGATTGGTGAGCAGAAAATAAAGCCAGGTTCGAATCTACAAACAAACAGATCTTCAGCATCGCACAAGTAAATAAATTTAAGTGAATGGATAAGAACAGTGCCAGATGTGAGTTAATTCACTTTGGACCTGCAAAATGATAGAATAAAAGTACTTTCTAAATGGACGAAATCTAGAAAACAATGGAGAGCCAAAGAAACCTGGTAGTGGTAGGGGTTCCAAGTAGATATAAATTATCAAAATGCCATGAGCAGGTACAATGGTCCAGATGATCCACTAAACTGCAGGTAATAAGGCATATGGAATCCTAAGTTTTATACACAGGTCAAGAAATTTCACTAAGTCTAAAAATACTTGTTTAACTCCAGCTGGAGTATCATGCCCAATTCTGGAAACCAGACTTCTGCATAAAGGCATAGAAGAGATTAACTGGAATGGTTCAGGACCAAGGGATTAAAATTAGAAAAGCTGGAGTTGTACCCCTTAAAGCAGAAGCTGCGAAGACCGATAAGTTGAGAAACAGCTTCCATGACTGAATAATCAAAAGCTAGAAAACACAGATTTAAAGGCAAGTGGCAAGAGAGCCAGAGGTGACAAGATGAAGTATTTTGGGGAGGCAATGGTCTAATGGTATTATCGCTGGACTATTAATCCAGAGACGCAGATAACATTCCGGAGACCCAGGTTCAAATCCCGCCACAGCAGATGGTGGAATTTGAATTCAATAAATATTGGGAATTAAGAATCTAATGGCAACCGTGAATCCATTGTTGATTATCAGAAAAACCCATCAAGTTCACTAATGTCCTTTAGGGAAGGAAGCCGCCATCCTTACCTGGTCTGGCCTACATGTGACTCCAGACCCACAGCGATGTGGCTGACCCTGAACTGCCCTCTGGGCAATTAGGGATGTGCAATAAATGCTGCCTAGCCAGCGACGTCCTTCATCCCATGAATGAATAAAGACAAAAAATAAATTTCTTAATGCAAATAGTAAGGATTTGAAATACATTCTTTGATTGGGTGGTAGATACAGATTTAATAGCAACTTTCAATAAGAGAATTGGATGAATAGTTGCAGACAAAACGAAAAGGTGCAATGTGGGGCACGGGGCACGGGGCACGTTCAACTAACTGGATTCCTCAAGACAACACTTGTGCTAATATTTAATGTCTGTGACCATTAGAAAATAAGAACTAGAAGCAGGAATAGACCATTCTCTCCCATGAGGCTTTCTCCCTCACCTCCAATAACCTTTGACTCTCTTAAGGAGTCAAAAATCGACCTCTGCCTCCACTGTTCTCTGGGGGAGGGAATTCCACAGACTCTCAACCATTTATTTAGAGATGAAACTCTTATCTCCATTTTAAATGGGAGACAGTCTTTTTAAAAAAAACAGTCTTCTAGTTCTAACCTCTCCTACAAGAGGAAGTATTCTTTCAGCATTGTTTTAATAAGATTACTTCTCTTCCAGTGATGCAGAGTCCCCTGAACTATGATCTATTTTGTAATGTCTTCTTATAATCCCATTAGCTCTGGTATTCCTCAGGAATGGGATGGAGTGGGGAAAAGGAGAGAGCACTTTTTCTTTCTCTCCTCGATTCTGTATCCAACATCATCTCATGCCATAGGTTCTGATACAGGACGAAGACCCAGTGTTGACCAATGTTTTTCCTCATTTGCTGTTTAACTTTTTCTAGGTCATTTGATGTTCCAATGGTCATTTTCCTTCTATTGTTCTATTGTATGCAGCCAAGAGATAGGAAGACAACCTGCAACCAAGTAAACCACAATCCTGTCATCAAAGGAGAGCTCAAACGGTGAACCAGATGTCAGAGGCAACAGTCTGTTGGAAAACAAGTGAACTAGATACACAGGGAGCATAGAGATGCCTATACTGATGAGTTATTGTGGTTATAGTGCTGTACACCCGATGAAACAGAGTGTCATAAACTAGTCCAGTGAAAATCCATAAGTGCCCTCATTTAATGACATCCACCTTCACCACATACACAATTGTAGAAAGATAGTCAGATATTCAAGCACAACATTCACCACTCCAAATTAATAGGCGATTTACCCAGTTTGGTGTAGACCTGATGAGCACGTGCCCGGACCTCCAGCAAGTCAGTTAGAATTGCTCGATGACCTTCTTGTAGCTCTGAATCCTGATGAGCCAATTGTTTAGTGACGTTTTCTATTAAAAAAAAAGCAAAGCTTATTGAATGCAACGCTTCTCCACTCAGATAGTAAGAACGGCCAATGCTGGAGTCAGAGATGACACAGTGTGGAGCTGGAGGAACGCAGCAGGTCAGGCAGCATCAGAGGAACAGGAAAGCTGACGTTTCGGGTCAGGACCCGTTTTCAGAAATTTCTTTTCATCTGCTTAAATCAGGTTTCCTTTTATATACGTCTATGCTAGCCTCTTCAACAACTCCCATGTGGTAGAGTATGCCATATTCTCACTATCTAGCTAAGGTTTTTTCCAGAGTTCTGATTGGATTTATTAGTGACTGGCATTGAATCCTAGCTGTGAACACTTGCAGCCACCCTCCCCTCCACTACAAATGGAAATAAAATTTTCTCAACAACTACCCTAAGACTTCCTTTTAAATTTTAAAAGATCTATTATTAGGCTAAGAGACAATGTCTTTTCCAGAGAAAATGTTCCAACTACTCTAAATCTGTACTAGTCCCACTTTCCATCACTTAGCCTTTAACCTTGATTGTTGACATTTCAGGTGTCATCCACTTTCCTCCACCTCCCCAAGTTGAGGGGTTTCCCACCTCAACTACCCTTCCAAGCAATTCTGCACTGTGTGGGTGAAAAAGATTTCCTCAAATCCCCTCTAAACCTCCTGCCTTTCACTTAAACTATGGCCCCTTGTCACTGACCCTTCAACTAAAGGGGAACAGCTGCTTTATGTCTATCCTGTCAATGCCCCTGAATCTTATTCACCCCTACCAGGTCACCCCTTAACCTTCTCTAGCCTCTCTTCAGAGCTAAAATGCTCCATCCCAGGAATTTCTCCATGCCTCCAGTACAATCACATCCTTCATACAGTGTAGTGACCAAAACTGCACACAGTACTTCAGCTGTAGCCTAACTAAACTCTTATACAGTTCCAACATAAACTCCTTGCTCTTACAATCGATGCCTTGCCTGATGAAGGCAAGCATCCCATACACCTTTGCAACTCATTAACCTGTCCTGACTCTTTCAGGGATCTTTGGACAAGCACCCTAAGATCCCTCCAAGCTTCCTAGAGTCCTGCTATTCGTGGAATACTCCCTCATCTTGTTGCGTCTTCCAAAATGCATCACGTCCCACTTTTCAAGGTTAAATTCTCTGTGACCAATGCATCTATAGCCTCTTATAAGACATTCTTCCTTCCTGTCAGTCAATTACCTGGCTGTAAACTGGTCATCACTCCACATTTTTCTACATAAACACTAAACATCCCAGACTGATCCCTGTGATATGCTATGAGACACCAGCCTCCAGAGAAACAAAGAGTCTTCTACCACTACCCTCCATCTCCTACCAAGTCAATTTTGGATCCAACTTGCCAACTTACCCCAGATCCCATTTGTTTTTACCTTCTTTATCAGTTTCCCATTTGTCAAAGGGTTTGTTGAAAGCTATAAACAACTGCACTGCACTCACCTACAGACTTGATCACCTTCTCAAAAAATTCAACCAGATTTGTTAGGTGTTATCTCCTTCTGACAACGTCATGCTATCCCTGAATAAACCTTGCCTTTCCAAGTGGTGATTAATTCTCTCCAGAATTTTCTCCAAAAGGTTTTCCTACAACTGATGCAAGACTTACTCATCTGTAATTCTCAGGTTTATCTCAACTATCCTACTTTAAAGTGGAGCCACATTGGCTATCCTCGCACCACCCCTGTGGCCAGAGGGGAATTAAAAAGTTGGGTCAGAGCCAGTGTTATTTCCTCCCTCATCTCCCACTGCTGCTTGGGATACAAGTCACCAGGACCTGGGGATTTGTCCACTTTTAATCCTGCTAGAGCCTCCAACATCTCCTCATTCTATATGAAACTGCTCAAGAACCTCAGTCCTTCTTCTTGTAGAACATAAGAACTAGGAGCAGGAGTAGGCCATCTGGCCCCTCGAGCCTGCCCCGCCATTTAATAAGATCATGGCGGATCTTTGAGACTCAGCTCCACTTACCCACCCACTCACCATAACCCTTAATTCCTTTACTGGTCAAAAATTTATCTAGCCTTGCCTTAAAAACATTCAGTGAGGTAGCTTCAACCACTTCACTGGGCAGGGAATTCCACAGATCCTCAAATCCTCCTTCTCAAAAAGTGAAGACAGATGTGAAGTACTCATTTGTCCTCTGGTTCCATGCACAGATTGTCCCATTGATGCATAACAGGACCTACTCTTTCCCTGATTATCCTTTTCGCTTTGATATCCTTATACAATATCTTGGCATTCTCCCTAAGCTTACCTGCCAGTGTTTTTACATGCCTTTTTTTGCTCTCCTAATTCCTTTCTTAAGATCCCCCTACACTGGGCAGCACAGTGGCTCAGTGGTTAGCACTGCTGCCTCACAGTGCCAGGGACCCGGGTTCAATTCCATCCCTGGCCGACAGTCTGTGTGGAGTTTTCACATTCTCCCCACGTCTGTGTGGGTTTCCTCCCACAGTCCAAAGATGTGCAGGTTAGGTGGATTGGCCATGCTAAGTTGCCCATAGTGTTCAGGGATGTGTAGCTTAGGTGGGTTATAAAGGAATGGGTTTGGGTGAGATGCTCCAAGGGTTGATGTGGACTTGTTGGGCCAAAGGGCCTGATTCCACACTGTAGGGATTCTATGTTCTATGTTCCACTAGGGCTTCCATTGACTTGCTTCCTTTTTAATCTGCTAACAGCCTCTTTCTATAATTTCAATGCTGGCATTATGTTTGTAATTAAAGTGAATAAGTATTGAGACCAACATTGCACAATAAACAATCAAAATAAGTACCACAAAATCAAGCAATTTATAGCTTATTTGAAGAACAAAGGTAGCAGATGTTTACAGTGCTGATATGTTGCTTTGCAGTGATGCAGTTTGGATGTCCAAAGCTGGAATGCCACAAAGAGGTTTCCATAGGAAACAAAATGCTTTTTCCACTACCTACTGGCTTTGTTAGTTAGGCAATTAACTAGGCAATGGCCTAGTGATTAGACTATTAATCCAGAAACTCAGCTAATGTTCTGGGGACCTGGGTTCAAATCTTGCCATGGCAGATGGGTGGAGTTTAAATTCAAATCAAAAATCTGGAATTAAGAATGTACTGATAACTATGAAACTATTGTCAATTTACGGAAAAAAAACCCATCTGGCTCACTAATGCCCTTCAGGTCATCCTCACCTGGTCTGGCCTATAGGTGATTCCAGACCCACAGCAAAGTGGTTGACTGTCAACCGCACTCTGAAATGAACTGATTGGCTTGCTAGACCAAGGGCAGCTAGGGATGGACAATAAATACCGACCAGCCAGCAACATCCACGTCCCATTAGAGAATAAAAAAAGATTCAATTAATTATACTTCCATTCAAATCAGGAATGCTGTGGTTTCAAATCTCACTGCGGAATTAAATAACTAGACTAACAGCTAAGTGCTGCATTGATGGACCTGCAACGTCTGTGTAAGAAATTGAGATCTTGACACCTGTTCTAGTGTTTCAATCAGATGTAAAAGTCTCATTTGCTATTTTGAAGGTAATCTTCCTGACACCTGTAAACACTTCATTATAAATGTCAAGAATACCTCTATTTACCTTAATACAGTTTACAGGGCCTACAAGTAAAGGTTAAAAATGCTGCACAAGTCAGTTCACACATTCTATGTGAAACACTTTGGAATACTGGAAACACAAGCACCAAATAAATACCAAGATTTCTTCCTATACAACCCAGCTAGTTTGGTCTAGCTGTAAAATAGTTTTTAAAAAAATTCACTTGAGGGATGTGGGCATCACTGGATGGCCAGCATGTATTGCCCTTGCAGTCCACATGCTGTAGGTTGACTCACAACGCTGTTAGGCAGGCAATTCCAGGATATTGAACCAGCAGCAAAGGAATGGCAACATATTGTCAAATTGGGATAGTGAGTGGCTTGGAAGGGAACTTGCATGTGGTGGTGTTCCCATATGTCTGCTACCTTTGTCCTTCTAGATGGAAATGGTCATGGGTTTAGAAGGTGCTGTCTAAGGATCTTTGATGAATTTTTTGCAGTGCATCTTGTAGATAGCACACACTGCTGCTGAGGTGGATGGAATAGATGCCTGTGGATGTGGTGCCAATCAAGCAGGGTGCTTTGTCCTGGATGGTGCAAAGCTTCTTGAGTGTTGTAGGGGCTGTACCCATTCAGGCAAGTGCAGACTTTTTCATTTCACTCCTGACTTGTGCCTTGTAGATGGCGGCAGGGAAGTCAGGTGGTGAGAGTTACCCATCACAGTACTCCTAACATCTGATCTGCTCTTGTAGCCACTGTGATGAGTCCAGTTGAGTTTCTGGTCAATAGTAAACCCTAACATGTTATTAGTGGGGGAAATCAGTGACAGTAACACGATTGAATGTCATGGGGCAGTCATTAGATTGTCTCTTATTGGAGATGATCATTGCCCGGCATTGTTGTGGCTTTCCATTTGTCAGCCCAAGCCTGGTTATTGTGCAGTTCTTGTTGCACTTGAACAACTTGGACTGCTTCAGTATCCGAGCTGTTGCAAATGGTGCTGAACATTGTGCAATCATCAGCAAACATCCCCACTTCTGACCTTCTGGTGGAGGGATAGTCATTTATGATGCAGCTGAAGATGGTTTGGCTTAGGACACTACCCGGAGGGATCTTTGCATTATCCAGTGCTTTCACTCATTTCTTGATATCACAGAGTGAATCAAATTTGCTGAAGGCTGCTATCTGTGATGTTGGGGACCACTGGAGAAGGCCAAGAGAGATCATCCACTCAGCACTTTTGGCTGAAGATTGATGCGAGTGCTTCAGCCTCATCTTTTGCACTGATGTATTGGGTTCTTCCATCATTAAGGATCAGGACATCTGTGGAGCCACCTCTTCCAGCGAGTTGTTTAATTGTCCACCACCATTCACGACTGGATGTGGCAGGACTGCTGAGCTTAGATCTGATCTGTTGGTTGTGGGGTCACTTAGCTCTGTCTATCACTTGTAGCTTATGGTGTTTGGCATGCAATTGGTCTTTTTTGATAGCTTCATGAGGTTGACACCACATCTTCAGGTATGCCTGTTGCTGCTCCTGAAATGTGCTCCTGCACTCTCCATTGAACCAGGGTTCATCCCCTGGCTTGATGGTAATGGTTGGGTGGGGGATATGCCAGGCCATGAGGTGCAGATTGCGTTGGCGTATAATTCTGCTGCTGATGGCCCACAACGTCTCATGGATGCCCAGCCGAGTTGCTCGTTCTATTCAAAGCCTGTCCCATTTATCACAGTGATAGCGTCACACAACATGATGGAGGTTATTCTCAATGTGACTGTGCGGTGTTCACTTTTACTGATGGTGTCAAGGACAGATGCACATGTAGCCAGTGGTTTGGTAAAGGTAAAGGTAAAGTCAAGTATGCCCTCAGGAGGCTGCTGAGTAAAGTAGGGGCTCATGGTATTAAAGGCAAGGTGCTAGCATGGATAGCAGTCTAGCAGAAAGCAGGTAGTGGGGTTAAAAGGGGCTTTCTCAGGATGGCAGCTGGTGACAAGTGGAGTTTTACAAGGGTCAGTGTTGGGACCACAACTTTTCACTTTATACTTTAATGATCTAGATGAAGGAACCGAGGGCATTCTGGCTACGTTTGCAGACAGTACAAAGACAGCTAGAGGGACAGGTAGTATTGAGGATGTGGGGAGGCTGAAGGAGGATTTGGACACGTTAGGAGAGTGGGCAAAGAAGTGGAAGAAGGAGTACAATATGGGAAAGTGTGAGGTCATGCACTTTGGTCAGAAGAATAGAAGCATGGACCGTTTTCTAAATGGGGAGAAAATTCAGAAGTCTGAAGTGCAAAGATACTTGGGAATTCTAGTCCAGGATTCTCTCAAGGAAAACTTGCAGGTTAAGTCAGTAGTTGGGAAGGCAAATGCAACTTTGGCATTTATTTTAAGAGGACATGAATATAAAAGCAGATGTTCTTCTGAGGCTCTATAAAGCTCTGGTCAGGCCACATTTGGAGTATTGTACGCCGTTTTGGGCCCCATATCTCAGGAAAGATGTACTGGCCCTGGAGTGGGTTCAGAGGAGGTTCACGAGAATGGTCCCAAGAATGAAAAGCTTAACATATAAGGAACATTTAAGGACTCTGGGTCTTTACTCGATGGAGTTTAGGAGGATCAGGCGGGATCTAATTGAAACTTACAGAATACTGAATGGCCTGGACAGAGTGGATGTTGGGAGGATGTTTCCATTGGTAGGATGTTTCCATTGGTAGGAGAGACTTGGACCCAAGGAGACAGCCTTACAGTAAAGGGAAGACCTTTTGGATTGGAGATAAGGAAAAACTAGTCAGCCAGAGAGTGGTGAATCTATGGAAGCCAGGTCATTGAGTATATTTAAGACAGAGATGGACAAGTTCTTGATTGTCAAGAGGATCAAGAGTTACAGGGAGAAAGCGGGAGAATGGGGTTGAGAAACTTATCAGCCATGATCAAATGGCGGAGCAGACTCAATGGGCTGAATGGCCTAATTTCTGCTCCTGTGTCTTATGGTCTTATGCTTTTTTCTCATTGATTCCATCACCACCTGCCAGAGACCCAGTCTAACAGTTATGTCCTTTAGGACTCGAACTGCTCAGTCAGTCACACTGCTGCCAAGCCACTCTTGGTGGTGAACATTGAATTTCCTACCGAGTACATTTTGCGCCCTTGTCACCTATAGTGCTGCCTCCAAATGTTACTCAATATGGAGAAGTAATAATTCATCAGCTGAGGGAGGACAATAAATGGTATTCAGCAGGAGGTTTCCTTGCCCACATTTAACCTGAAGTCATGAGATTTCAAGGGACGTGGAGTCAATGTTGAGGACTCCCATAGCAACTCCATCCCGACTGCGTACTCCGAGCCACCACCTCCGCTAGGTCTATCTTGTCGGTGGGACAGGGTATATTCAGGGATGGTGATTGTGGTTTCAGGGAATTCTGGCTAGGATTGCACAAGCATGATTACATCAGGCTGTTTGACTAGTTTGAGAGACAGTTCTCCCAATTTTGGCACTAACTCCAAGATTTTAGGAGGAGACTTTTGCAAGGTCGACAAGGTAGTTTCTGCTGTTATCTTTTCCAGTGCCTAGGTCAATACCAGATGGTCTGTCCAATTTTATTTCTTTTTTGAGTGTTTGTAGCGATTGATACAACTCTTGACTTGCTGGGCCATTTCAGATGGCAATTGAGAGTCACCCACATTGCTGTGGGTGACACCACAGGTAGGTCAGACCAGATGAGGATTTCCTTCCCTGCAGGACATTAGTGGGCAAAGTGGATTTTTCCGACAATTAACAATGGTTTCATGGTCATCAGTTGATTCTAAATTTCAGATTTTTTCTATTGAATTCTAATTCCATCATCTGCCATGGTGAGATTTGAACTCAGGTCCCCAGAACATTAGCCAAGTTTTTGAATTCATGTCTAGCAATTGTACTACTAGGCCATCTCCTCCACCTCAATTTTCCTGGCTACTTTTGACACAAAGGACAAGAGTATACTACGGAATGAAGCCAATAACTGTACATACTTCCTACCAGCTGGGCACATTCCCTAAAACTGAACTTAAAGTGGGGAAAAACACTGGCTTTCAAGTGAATTTTAAGCAATATCCCTCCCACTTTCTGTTTTGAATGGAAACTATGTCCAAAAAAGTGCCAAGCTCACTTACTACAATAACTCAGCTAACAGTTCAAAAAAGTAAATTGTTCGTTGTGAACAGACCAAGAATTGGTATAAATTTAAATTTAAATTTAAGCAACACTCACATCCCACAAATGATTTTTTAAAAAAAAAGCTGTTTGCAATTAATGTTTCCAGTGTCTAAGTCAGTGACAGGTTTTCCATCCAGGTTTGTTTTCTTTAAGCTTTCTAGCAGGTGATACAACTAAGTGGCTGACTGGGCCATTTCAAAAGGTAATGATCAGTCAACCATATGGTTGTAAATTGTGGAGTCACATGTAAGCCAGACCAGGGAACAGTGGCAATTTTCCGTCCCTGAAGGACATTAATGAACCAGACTTTTTTTTTTAAATTTGTTTTTACAACAATTGGCAATGGCTTCATGATCTTTAAGATGAGAAACAGACCAGGCTGAAACTTTATGGCCCATTGAGTCTGCTCCACTATTTAATAAAGATTAAATGCCTGCATTTCACATTCCTGCCCTCTCCCCGTATCTCTCAGATTCATTTAGTGCCCAGATATCTATCAGTGTTATGAATAAACTCAATGTCTAAACATGCATAGCCCTCTGCAATAGTTGAAGTGAATTCAGTTAGAAGGGTTATCTTACCCATTGTTAATGTAATGCCTTCAATCAACTTGGCAACTTGCTGGTGTCCACTAGCAATAAGTTCTTTTTCCTTAGTCAGCTTCTCCAGGTTTCCATTGATTGAAGTCTCCAGCTCTTGCTGACCACCTTGAAGCTGCTCCTGCTGCTCCAGCAACTCATTCTGACTCTTAACGACTTTTTCAAGTGACGAGGCAGTCAGCTCTCGTAGTTCCTTTTGTCCATCCTGTGATAAATTACTATTTAAGCCAAGACTGACTACTGAATTTCAATAGAAAAGAATCATTCCGTTCAGGAGAAAGACACTTGATTGAGTTTTAAAGACAGTTAGAGGCTAAAGTCAGAGACAGATAAGTCTAGCTCCAGTTAATAAATGGTTTATAGGGAGAGATCTGCTAACTGCAGGGAAACTATTGAACAGCATTTTAATCTATGCTGCCTTCCACAACCAAAAGCTACCAAGTTCACTTGAACAAGCAAATTAAAACATCTATTACATCCTGTGCAAACCAACCTTTTAGTTCAAATATTCATGCCATCAATTTTTATGGTGCTATTATGATAGAGAAAGAACCCAAGGTGCTTTCTCTGAGGAATGGTTACACTGAGTGCAGAGAGACATAGCACAATTACCTTTAGCATTTTCATGGCTTCTAACTGACTGGAAGCTGAAGCCACTAGTGAGTTCACTGTCATCTCAGTCCTCTTTTTGAAATCCTGCTGTCGTGTGGCATAGCACACAGAGCGTGCCCGATTACTAACTATATGGTATGCATTCCACGTGTCCGGGTCCATAGCCTCTGTACATTCAGCCAACGTCTTGGAGCAAACAGATGTAGGAGCAAGAAAAAAAAAGTCAAAACCAGACACGCACAAATTCAAGGTCTTTTCTTTCAACAATTACTCCATCATCAACATTCATTTTATCTAATGGTTCTTTGAACAGCTGTAGTGCATTGTGCCATCACAAGAACAAGGAGAAGGAAAAGTCCTCCAAATCCTAGATATTCACAAAGGACTGTCCACAAAACTACAGGGTTTTGAGGAGGATCAATAAGATAAAATGGAGATAACCTTGTTCTGCAGGATCATCACAAAAATACTGTACACTTGAGGACCAAAAGCAACATTCAGCTCAGTCTATTGATGAATGAAACAAAACAGCAGGGAAGATTAACTGTTTTCAGTAATTGGGTCAGAAAGGGCACCATTTTCCCAAACAATTATTTGGAAAATTGACTCGTTGACTTTCATAGTACACAAATTCAAGTGGTGTTTCATGTTCAACCCCGCTATTCTACACTGAAGATGCATCTGGTGCTAATTGCATACATGCAGTGGGCATTCATTGGGAGAGAGAAAAAAAAAAGAAAGAGAGTAGAGACGCTTGTGGTGCAGTGGTAGTGTCCCCAGTTCTGAACCAGGACGCCTGGGTTCAAGACCAATCTACTCCAGAGGTGCGTAATCCTATCCCTGAACATGTCGATTAGAAAATTTCTAGAGAAAAGGATTTTTTGTGGTGCAGTGATACTACAAAGAATAAAAGAACAGAACAGCACAGAAACAGGGCCTTCAGCCCACCAAAAGTACACCAACACATTATACCTTTCGGCTCTTTCTATCCTCTATTCCCTGTCTGTTCATCTACCTGCAAAGGTGCCTCTTAAACATTGCTATCATATCCGTCTCCACCACCTGTTTTGGCAGCACATTCCAGGTACTAACTACCCTCTAAAAAAAAAAGTCTCATCTGCTTGAAACTTATCTCCTTTTGCCTATGCCCGCTAGTAACTGACATTTTTTATCCTGAGAAAAATAATCCAACAATCCATTCCTCTCAATTTTATAAACTTCTATCTGCCCCTGCCTCAGGTTCAAGTTCCTCCTGCTCCAGAGGTGTATAATAACATCAGAAACTATCAAAGTACCCTAGAAAAAGACCAAAATAACGATTTCTGTATTAGTAGTGTACTGTATGCTTATAGTGTGTACCACTAAGTAAGTGCATAAAGTTTGGGTCCAGTTCTATCTTTCACAGGTTAACTTTCTGGAGATCACCAAAGGTCACTCAAAAAGACTAACCAGCAATTTTCTAACATTTATCAGTTTTTCTCTTTCAGTTTGCTGCCATTCATCACCCAAATCTACACTACTGAAAGAACAGCACAAGTCTACTAGTGCAGGAATGTTGATTCTTTGTTCAACTGTATATTTCAAAAAAGGATTGAAATTTAGCCATATGAAGTTATAACCTGAAATTCACATCCCACTATTTAAAAGAACCTTGTCACTGAATGCACAAACTAACAGACTGGAATATTTTGATTGCAATTCTTCCCTCACTGTTCCCAACCTCAGAAGGAAAGAAATTCATCCAAGGGAATTACCATATCTGCAGTGCATGGGTAAGTTAGCCGATGTTCAGCAGCCGCTTGACAGTTGAATAAGGACACCCCAAGTTTGGCGAGCTCCTCTTCTGAGAGATCACTGCAGGAGGTTGTTAACTGAGCTATTACCTACAGAGAGAAAAAAAAAGAATTAAATTTAATAGAAAAATTTCTCAGCTTTCAGTCTTTATTGCAAGCTGCAAGAACAGAAAGCTGCTTGCTAGTTTGCTTACTGATAAAGACATGACCCATTCTCAGTGAAAGGTCAACTTTTGGGTATCATAACTGAATATGGTACTAATGCAGAGATGAGGGGAAAAGACACTCATTTTGGTGTAGCAGCCTGCAACTGCTTAAGTGAAATAAAAATCCTTAAAACAGGAGACCAGAAATATAGCTACAGCAACTCAAATAAACAGGGCATCAAAATTGGCCAAAAAGCAACGTATGCTGGGGATGCCCCAGCCAAAACTGACTCTTTCAAGAGACAATTCTGCCTATGGGCAAGTCCTGGCAAGACCCAAGCTCAAACAATTGAGATCAGAGACACCAGAAAAAAAA